TTTTTTTTTTTTTTTTTTATATAAACAATTCTTATCGTTTGATCAACCTAGTCATACGTTATATTCCAATCGTTTATTCTTCCGACGAATTTCTGCAACGCTTCGCTTTAATACTTGACTTTATTATCCATGTACATATTTTATAAGTGTCTTTATGCATACCTTTGCCTGCTCGGAGAAAAATATTGAATGGACAACAATGTTTTATGTTTGTAAAAATGACGTTACAATGGGAAGTGAACGAATTAAGTTGGACTTTCACTTTCAATAAAAAAAAAGAGAAACATCACGTCATTAAATTGTAATTGTTTCGGTCAAGTCAATATTTTTTTTCCACGTGGTTGCAGAAATTACGATCGTAAAAGTCAAAGAGACGTTGTACTAACAAAATTGAAAAAACAAGTTTGAAAGGGAAAAGAATGACAAAAATGAAACACATTAAAAAATATATATATATTTAACGATTTCATTCAAATATTATAATCGACTTTCATTTTCTCTTATAGATTTTATGTGGTCCGTGGGAGCTATACCAGAAGGTGAGTATAATAAAATATAGAATAATAGTAATAATTTGTTCATTTTATTCTGATAAAATTGTCAGTCGAAAAAGTATGTTAAATTTATTGTAATGTTATTCGTGGTTGTATAGATTATTCTATTTTTTGTATTAATTTATTATTATTTATTATTTATTGTATATTAAATATACAAAAATGAATTGTTTTAAAATATGCTATTAGTTGAGAATTAAAAATCTTCTTTATTTTAATTTTCAAAAATATAAATTGTGTATACAAATATACCTAAATATGGATACAATAACTTTTTTGTTGTTGAAATATTTAGTAGCATTTATATTGGTCAGATATTCAATAGAGAAAGTAGACGAATAGATGATATTATACGAATATTGTGAGGTAGAAGGGAAAGGGAAACGGTGTAGGTTTTCCTAGGGAACACTTTGAATATGATAAAGAGAAGAATACGTCGTAAACGTCAGTAAAATGTGGATGAACGACGATGACACTCTATGCATGTTTCAATATCTACTGGATATTTATCGGATATCACGTTTCAACTGGGTGGGTGGTGGTGGTTGGTCGCTTTCCATTTGCATGCATACGTCGATACGCATTCACGATGATTGAATGATTGCGTACGTAGCCATCAGATTGTAGTAGAATCGTAAAAAGGGGATAAAAAAAGGAAAATGTTATTAATATAGAGGTACCTATATATCTCTGGTATACGCGTTAAGCATTATAATGGAAGAGAACGATCGAATGATAAATCAATGTTCATCAATCCGACCTACATTTTCGTTGACACGTCTTCAATAATGTGGAATGGCAACTTCGTTACGAACATATTTGAAAAATACATTTTCTTTTCTTTTTATTTTAAGAATCAATTTAAGCAATGCATGCTTTTATTCAAAATCAGGATATACAGGACAATCATCCTACCGGTAGTCCTTTATGGTAGCAAAACGTGGTCACTTACATTACGGGACGAAAAAAAATTGAGGGTTTTCGAAAATAAAGTTTTTCGTAAAATGTTCGGTGCAAAACGCGATGAGGAAACGGGCGAATGGAGAAAACTCCATAGTAGAAGTACACCGACTCTACAACAAACCGGACATCATTAACATCGTAAAACCACGTCGATTAAGATGGGCAGGTGACATAGCGCGCATGGGGGGGGATCGAACGGTGCATAAAGTACTGGTCGGTATATCAACGGAAAAAGACCACTGGGTAGACCGAGACGTAGATGGGAGGACAATATTATTTCGGGATTTTAAAAAAATGGGCTACGAAGATCGCGAATGGACGGGGAGCACTGGCGGGATTTGCGTATTTGTGGCAATGGACTGTCGATAAAATAATTTTAATAGTTTTAACGTTACTTCTTTTACAGAGTATCTACCTAAATAGATTATATATGCATATATAATAAAAAAATATAAAAAATTTAAAGTAAAAAGATGTTGTTAAAAAAGTTGTTAACAAAATTGAATTTATCTGTTCACAGGTTTCTCAGCAGCGGCATACGCGGCATACGCGGCAAGCCGCGGTTATTCTGGGTACCCTAGTTTCGGACTACCCTACCCGACAGGTAACCACCTTAGCCTTAACCACCTTAACCACCATAATGCGGCCCACATCGCGCCCCTGAACCTGAACTTGAACCTCATACAGGCACAACCCGCACCCCACCACAATCCACCTACCCCAACGCCCCTATTTTACCATCCCAATTTGGACCTCTACAACGCCATGCCTCTGTGAACTAACTATTTAATAATGACTCAAGAAGCTATGCGCACACTAATCCATCGCTACAAACTAATTATTTGTGCTATATCGTTATCATCAACCATATTATTATTATTATTATTATTATTATTATTATTATTATTATTATTATTATTATTATTATTGTTATTATCAACACCCATCGTGCCGGAAGCCTTGTTGTGCGTTGATCTAATTGAACCCAACACACAGTACTACGAACGTTGTCTCTTTTTCTCTCTCTCTCTCTCTCTCTTTTTCTTTCTCTTTCTCTTTATCTGTCTGTCTGTTTGTCTTGTTTTATCTTGTCTTGTCTGATCTATCCTATTTTCTCATTATCTAATCTCGAAGATACACTTGTATATAATTTTAAACGAATGTTAAGAAAAATATCTTGAATTTCTCCCCACGTGAAAATATTCTGAAGTATTTTTATTCCTTTCTTCGTTTTCATTTTCCGGAAGGTAAAGATCATCATCTTGGTTAAAAAAAAAAAAAATAAAAAAAAAAGGGTCTTTTCCTACTAGACGCAACCCAAGCTCCGCAAGCCCTCGAGGTATACAGAATATACTACTACTACTATATAGGAGATTTACGAAAAGGGATGGCCCGAAGCTCTTGACAAGTATCTTCAACCATTTTAAAAATCGTTTTGCTTTTTCGATCTTTATGACTTTATATACTTGGTCTGAGATAAGAGAAAAAAAGAATAAGAAAAAGAAGAAAAAGAAAAACATAAAATGACGCTAGAAAATCCGTGTGATATCACGGATAACGTTGTGTATTATCGTTTTAGCTAATAAAAGTGTGACGGAAAATATATATATAGGATGTTAAGATTTTTCTTGATAAAGAAGAAAGAGAGAAAAGGTGCACAATAAAAATATACGTGTGTGTGTGTGTGTGTGTGTGTGTGTGCGTGTATGCACACGTCAAAGTTTAAATTACATTTTCCTCGATGCATTAGGCTTGAAACTGAAAGATTTCTCGTTTGTTATTATTTAAACAAAAAAAAAAAAGATTATATAAGGATGACAACGTTGTTCTGGGTTTGATTTTTTTTTATATAAAAAGATTTTACACGTTACAGGGTCATTTTAGTCGATATTTAAATCTACTTCTATGACATTACAATGATGCAATAATTTCGCATTGGAAGGTATCATGTTTATGATAGATTGATAACCAGAAAACTAATGCGGGAAGGGGAAAAGGAGGGTGGGGAATTTGTACAAATCACTAGGAGTTATATAACGCGTTGATTAATTATCGATAAACGATTGTACGAGAAGACAGCAATAATAATATTTTATATTATAATGCATATTGCATTTTTTATTTTTTTGAATTTTTATTTATATTTTTTTGAAGTGACAATGACGAAATTAATTACACGATCATCGTACTCAATTGATTTTTTGTATTAATAATATATTTTTATTATAATCTTCGAACATAATTGGTAGGAATTGTAATATATATAATTTTATATTATATTATTATATTATATTATTATTATAGTTTTAAAAATTGTAATATATATAATTTTATAATATATTATTATATTATAATATTATAATATAATATAATATAATGTATATAATTTTATATATTACATTATTATATTATAATATTATTATAATTTTATAAATTATAATATATAAATAAAACTAAAAAATAACCACAACACAATAGTAAAATAAAATAATAAAATAATTATTTTTCATAAATTCATTTAGCATTGTTCCCCACTTGAAACCATCACATATACTTCAATTATTTTATAAAACACCTAACAAAAGATTAATTATTATATAACTCGAAATTGATATTTAAAACCACTCGTCGAATGCGTTGCAAAAAAAAAAATTTTTTAACTGAATTTTTACCACAATAACGAGTTTAAGGCAGCGTTCTAAATTATTATACTATCGTTGAAAGTTTCACAAGTATTACACAGAAAATTGATTTCGCTTAAGTTAGGCTAGAGTCTACCGGGCAGATAATGAGATCGATCTCAATTTAAAATTAATTACGGGGACGCAGAATAGGGTAAAATGACATTGTTAATATCAAGTAGGAGTTAACGATAGAACAGGATAGGAAAATTGAAAGATAGAAAGAGAGTGGAAGAGGTGAGGGCTAGGGGAAAGAAAATTCCCGATCGATCGATAAAGAAAATGAGTTTGAAAAAAAAAAATATTGATTGCCAATGTTAAACGAGAAAAAGATGCACTTTTCTCTCTCTCTCACTCTTTCTCTCTCTCTCTCTCTCTGTCTCACAAACACAGACACATACATTTAGAAGCTACGTGTAAACGTTTGGTTATTAAAAGGAAATGTTTGATAAAAAAATATGCGTTTCACCTATCTCCGATACCCAGAAATGATAGAAATCAAAAAAAGTATGCTGATTGCTAGCATTTTAGTAGTCGGCAGACAGATTTTTGAGTTTTGGGGTCAAGTGTACTCCGAGACCTCGATTCGAACTCAAAATGAAAATGCTGAAACATCCTCGTCACGAAGAGCCCTGAAATGGGAATCGTCACTACATGACTATATATATTATACTAAGGATTCAAATTGCCCTTTTTTCGATTCGATCGTTGAGTTTGCAAAAGGCCCCACCCCACCCCCTCTCATCCTCTATTTGGCTGCGTAACTTTCGAATTATCGCGAAAGATGGGAAAATAAAATTCGTGTCTCTTGGAAATTCGCGACTTTGTTCAAAACCTCTCACCCCCCACACCCCCATACTCTGTTCTTTCTTCGATTTACGTGTCCAATCTCGTTTAAGTTCTTTTTCTTTTCTTTTTGTTGAAGGTTATTTATGATCACTTGGTCGATGACTAGAATCTTGATAAATCGAAATTCATTTGGTCGTGGTGTACGTGTCTCTTCTCGTCGATAGCGTTTTGATTACGCAAGGAATTTTTGATAAATGCTAAGGGGTGGGAAGGGTAGGTTGGGTGGGTCCTTTCCGAGAAGAAAAATAGGAAATTGGGAGAAAATAATCTAACCTCGTTGTACTTTTGTGGTTGTATTTGCTCATCGAATTATTATCACCGAAGTGCTTGCTTGCTTCTTCTTTTTCCAATCCACCAATCTCGTAATTCTTTTTCTTTTTTTATTCCTTTTTATGTTCTATTTGGTCTGTCCAACTATTCTGCACGTACACATACCCACACACACACACACACATATATTTGTCCCCTTTTTCTTCGACGTCTAACCATTTTCGTGTGTTTGTCCTTTTTTTGGCCCTTTCTCGTTCTTTATTTCTATTTCTTTTTATTAAATTTTTTTTCCAACCTTTCATTTTTTCGTTTTAACTTAAAGTAAAGTATCTACCTTTGTTCTACTTTAGCTGAGTTTTTTTAATTTTTTTTTTTTTTCGAAAAAGACGAGTAGTAGTTTTCTAAAAGTTTGGTTGCCTACAAAGTATTTGTACAAAACTGAACAACACGTAATTATTTTCTTGTATTTTAAGCATGTTCTAAAAAAAAATAATCACCAAGTAGTAACTAATGAATGTAACGGATAAACTGCGACGATCAAGTGTCATCCAATCATCGATGATAATTTTTTTCTTTTACGAATAATCAAAAATATGTCACGTTGCTTCTATTTGAATAAAAAAAAAAGAAATAAAAATAATATACAATTTATAATGTTTGTCTCATTGCTAAATTTGTCGCCAACCCATAAATTGGAAATTGTATTTTTTTTTCAAGCATAAATTTTCTAAAACTTTTCTTAAAGCTTCAACAATCATGCTATTTTCAAAACATAACAAATTAATCTACCGATAGTTCCTCCAAGTACTTCGATCGTGTACATAAACCACTATTACCAACTGACAATCCTTGAAACGCGCGAATAAGGGTGGGAAAAAACTCATAAATAATGCACAATGTTTTTCGGACGTTTGTACTTCCTCGAAAGCCTCCGCTTTCTTCGTCTTACCACCCTTCCTCCCTTCACGACTATTTTATCCAGCATCCTTTCTCATCTCATCTCATGTGAGATGAGAACTAAATGTGGTTTTCCTCACATTCGTCTTGTATCATTTTTTTAAATAATAATATTTTCTTTTTTCCAATCGATATACATTTCTTAAAATTGAAATAATGTTATTATTTAAATAATTTGAATAATTTTATCATATGGCAATGACGAATTAAAAATTGCCATAATTAAATGTGTTGCTTCACATGGTTCACGAGGCATGGCCGTAGAAAAATGAAAAAAAGGATTCTGTTCGGGATAATGATTGGTCATTATTTAAACAAAACAAAAAAAAAATAATAACTAATACCCCTTTTTAACTCGTCCACAGATAATTATCCTCAAACGTCAAACGTCCGAAAAAACATTCGTCTAGCAATTAAGACGTTCTTTGCATCGTAACGCGTATGGAATATTTTTCTATAACAAATTTCGACTTTTTTTTAAACTTGGAGGAACTAGAAATCGAGATAACCATAGTGTACTCGCAGTTTATCCTAAAACTTAAATTTAATCAACCCTTATTCCAATAGCTATCTGATTTAACCTAAATATTCACATGATTTTATTTAATGTACCATATATATTAAATAAAAAATAGTAGCAAAGGTTAAAGTTGCATGTTCAAGATATTTTGTTAAACCAAAAGAAAGAATAGAAAGAAAAAAAATGTAAAACACCAATAAACCAAAACCCGAGTAAACGAAAGAAAACGATCTCTAGTTTGAAAAGTAATTAACAAGATGAAAACCAAAAGTTTAGGGGGTTGATGGTACTTTCAGGTGTCATGGAACTATCACCCATAGCTGTTGG